CCCTCTGAAGCCTTTAAGGGTTCAGAGTCACTCCAACAACTTCAAGAAAAACAGAGTCAGCACTTTAGAAGGAAATGAGCAGTAGTGGAGTTTGGGGGAGAACTTTCTGAGTTCACACCAGGAGGGACATTTGGCAGCCTCAGAGCACATACTTTGAGGAAACACTGGCGCAAAATAAACAAGAGTGGGCTTGACAGACAGCCCTTGAAGAGTGACACTCAGCAGCCAGCAGAATGGGCTCTCCGGGGCAACTTATGGGAGAGGCCAATCTGGAAATGCCTTCAGACGGCCTTGTGTGAGAAAGCAGCATCTCAGCAGATGGCTCCTGTCTCCTTCTTCATAGGATTATGCTAAAACAACGTCAGTGATTCGGAACCACATTGTCAGCTCCTGTGGGCCCCTCCCCGGCAGGCACCGGATGCCTCTGTCTTTTTCTCTGGCCCAGTGTGCAGTGGTCTGTGCTTTCTCCCTCCCAGGGACTAAGGTAATAAATAACTAGAACTGCTTTCAGATGGTCCTACCACATGTGGAAAAGGAAGCAACAGAACAAATACACACTTCATGTGATAGGCTTCCTTTCCTACAAAACCAGAACTCTTTTGCCCTTCCACAAACAGTAGGTAATAATGTCAAAAATTAAAGGGTGGTGGGCAGGAGGTCAGGGTGAGACAGAGTTCGTAGGTGCCTGCAGCTCCCACAGCCAGCAGTAGTCCTGTCCAGCGGCTCCCTATATCATGTCAAGCAGCATGGCTAACTGTTGCCTAGGAATTTGTGAGGCTGAGACAGCTGCTCTTACTGGAGTTTCTCTGTTGTTGCCACCTTGGTAGCAACACTATTACAAATGACACAATTAGCACATAGTTACTTCAGTGAATCTCTGTGTGCAAATATTAAAATAGCACCTCCCTCCTAGATTACAGTTACAAACTGGAAACCTGGGAGAAGACAAGATTTTTACTATCAAATTTAAAAACTGAATACTAGCAGCTGGAAAGAGAAACCGCTCAAGAAAGGCTATCATTACTGAGTGCCAGCAAGTATCCACACTATAATGTGGCCATAACTAGCCGTGACTGTGCTGAGGTGGCAGAACAGGTGGGGCTGGGACACCAAGGAAGAGGTTCAGGAGGGGCATGAAACTCTCACATTAGGGTGTGTGGGGGTGGTATGAAGAGGTGGGGCTCCATGCTTTCAGGGCTGTGAGACTATCCTGCATGATACATCATAATGGATACATGCCATTACATATTTGTTGAGACCCTTACAATGTATAACAGGACCAGGAGCTGAAGAAAGAATGCTCATATAAACTAGAGGCTTCAGTTAATAACCGTGTCAATACTGGTTCATTGATGTTCAGATTGTAGCATACCACCAAAAGTTTTACTAATATGGGAAATTGTTAGGGAGGTGGCATAAAGGACTCTGAAAATTATAAACCTAAAAATGGGTCTAAAACATACACACACACACACACACACACACACACACACACACACAGAGGACTGGGGATGTAGTTTAGTGGATGGGATTTGCCTTGCATGCTTGAGGCTATGGGTTTGATCTATAGTGCCACCAAAAATTAAAAATTAAAGTCTGTTAATTGAAAAATAAAATTGTACCTGAAAACACACCTTGGGAAATTTTCAAACTATTTTACTTATTTTGTTTTATATGACATTACTCTTTTTCTTAAATGTACTAGTTAAATTAAAGGTGTATCACCTCAACAAGAAATGAGCACTCACTAAAATCCCACACTTCTTGGGTCTACTTCATTCTATAATGTGGTTAGAGAAGTAATCACAACAAATACTTGTAGGGGTGTGGCTGAGTGCAGCAAAAGAGAGAGCAAGATGTTGGATGCCTTTGAGTACCACAGCATCCTTCATCTGTGTGAAGGGACACTGGTCCAGCCACAGAAGCACCAACTGAAGCAGTGTCATATTTCATACTTTTTCATACTAACACTTCACATGCTCCTAACAAGGCTAACATCCTGTGTTTAACCAACATACTGCTGGTTAGCTCATATCTAATTCAAGGATGCACAGTGCTTCTCAGTCCCATTTATCTGCAAGAAGTTCCCCTGCAGCTCTAACATAGAGGCTCAGCATTCCTCACGTGGGTGCAAGAAGAAAAGGGGCAGCAATAGCACTGTGAGGAATGAGCAGAGACTCCACTTCAGGTATGCCTTTTAGAAAGATATGCAGGTGAAGGCCTGAGCTTGGAGATCCCTATTCTAGCAGCCAAGGTGATCTGTAAAATAGGCCCTGGCAAACCTAGATTAAAAATCTACAAGGAAGTGGGGGGGGGGGGCCTCTGGGATAGAGTCTACCAATTTGGACTGAAGTCATGGTTTAGCTGACACAGCCCAGTCCCACTCTTGCCAAACTGTTTCAGTCAGCACAGGTCATGTGTGAGTGAGTTCTGGAGCGATTACACAGCAGTGTGCAGAACTGAAAAGCATTCGGGAGCTGAAGGATGCTCACACTAGGCTTCAGCTAACCTGCTCCCCACCTCATCCAGCACAAGAAACCATCCACAACCCTCTGCAAACTTAGCCCTCAGGGTGGGCATCCCCTCTGGCAGCCCTGAAAGCACATGTAGAATTCACTTGGCAACCGTGCTGCGTTAGACTGAGTGGAGGCCTAATCAAGCTTGGATAGGAGACCTGAACTGGAAATATGGGAAAGGAGGAAGGGCAGATGCTGGGGATGGTTCTGAGCTGCCTAGCCTCTTATAATCTCCAGGCCTGGAATGCTCCTGGTAATGATGGCTAAATGCAAGCATCCAAGTAGCCAAGGCAGAATGAAATGGCCCAGGGCTCTAATATTAAAGGATTTAAAAAATCAGTTATGCTTTGGATCTCAATAAAGGCTCAATAAATATTCTTTCTGCTAAGGCTGTTATAACAGGTAGGCTCTGATATATATAATATATATATATACTCTTATGACTATTAGTAATATTTTAAGAAAAATATAGACTACTGATCACTTTTAAAAGTCTTATGTAGTAAAAAATATAGACATATGCATTGTTATCTGTCTGCGGTGAATAACTGGCTAATCAGTCGTGGAAGAACCAGGGCAGCATATGTTCCCTCGTCCAACAAAGACACTGAGGTCCTCTTGAACTGACTGAGACTTTGAACAAACTTCATTAAGACAACAGCAGCTTCTCCACTGCTGCCCCACTGTTTCTCCCTGAGGACTCTGACCCTACTACGCATGCACACCCCAGTGTCAACAAGGCCTCTCTGATTCCCAGAATTTCAGCATGCAGTTACCGTCTCACTATTTTACAGGTTTAATCTTACACTGTAGATGATTTCAAACTTTTGTGAGCTAGCCTAAGAGCATGGACTTTAGCCATACTGAGATTTAGCTGTTCAACTTCAGGTAAGTGACATTAATAGATACTTAAGTTTAACTCATCTGTAAAAAATGGGGGTAATTTTGCATATGATGAGCATGTTGCAAGGATTAATTGATGCAACATCCTCAAAGGCCTAGCATAGTGCTTGGCAGATACTGAATGCTCAGAGTCCCTGGATTTTCCTCCAACCACATATCGTATTCCACTTTTTGGACCCTCAAGATTCTTTCCGCCTATGGGGACTAAAACAAGAGCTGAAAGCATCTGAGTTTGGAAGATCAGGCTGACTTGACTTTCCTGACCCAACATCACATTAGGAAGATAACTGACTTACCTAGATATCCTTACAAGCCTGTAACACAGAGAATGCGGGTTATGAACTCCATTTCATTCCATAAAGGACTTAATGCCATGTGAAAGTCTTGTTTATAAGTTTTACTTGTCTGTACATTTTGGAGTAGGTAGGGGACAAAAGAGTAAACTTTTTTTAAACTTTAAAAGAAAATTTATTTATTATTTTTATTTTACTTGTATGCACGTATTGCCTGCATGTAGGTTAAGTGCACCCGGGTTGTGCAATGCCCACGGAGGTCAGAAGAGGCTGTTGGAACTAGAGTTACGAGCAGTTGTTAGCTGCCATGTGGGTGCTGGGACTCGAACCTGGGTCTTCTGTAAGAACAACCAGTGTTCTTAATCACTAAGCCATCCCATCTCCCTAGCCCCAAGAGAGTAAACTTTTAATAGTTGGTATTTATTTTTTAATTGAAACTTCAAGCATGACAGTTATTGTAGGCATACTTTAAAACAGAGAAATTCTTGGCTAGGCGTGATGGTGCACACCTTCTGTTCCAGTCCTCAGGAGGCAGACATGGGTGAATCTCTTTGAGGTCAAGGCCAGCCTGGTCTACATAGTGAGTTCCAGGCCTGCTGGGCCTGCTGGAGCTACAGGGAGACCCCCCCCCGCCCCAAAAAAGAAATCGAAACCTCACAAACAAACCAGAGATATTCTTGAAAGAAGGCAACTCTTGTGTGTGTGCATGTGTGTGTGTGTGTGCATGTGCGTGTGCGTGTGTGTGTGGTGTATGTGAGAGAGACAGAGACAGAGAGGCAAACGTCCACATTTCTGGAACTATCTAGATTATGCCATAAGAAACATATAATCAATGGGCCTTTGATCAACAGAATCAGGTGATGGTGGGTCATCCTCACTAGCTGCTGAAGTTGTTATTGACAAGCTGGTAATGCTTGTGCCACACTGTGTCACTCATACTGAGAACATTAGCATTGTGTAAAGGTCAGAAACAAATTCTCTTAAAATGTAGACTTTCTTACAAATCAGAGGGAAGACTCAGGATCTTTTTAAGTCAAGTTCACACTATATACTCAGAATATGTGAGACACTCTAATAGTTCTAATAGACACTTCTTCCTCTAATGCTTCACGTTAAAATATTTTTTCCAACTTAAAAATCTTGGCTTTTGCACAACCAGGTGGTATATATTTTCTAAGGAAAGGAACAAAAGAGGGCTTGTAAAAGCTTTTTATGTCTCTAGTAGGCCTAGTGAGAGAGGAAAGACAAAGCCTAAATCTGGACCAAATCAGAACAAAATTATACTTACTTTGTGACACTCTTACTAGTTCAGTCACACTGAAAACACCTGATGTGACAAAACTGTCCTGGAAGCCCAAATGTCCTGCGGAAACAAAAACAGAAGAAAACCAAGTGTCATAAACAGAAAACATTTGACAACAGAACTGTAAACATTCATCTCACTATGATTAAGCGTGTGATGCCTAATCTCACACCCCATCCCTCGGTGTCCCTGTGGGAGGGCATAGTCATTCTGTAACACAGACAGCTTTGGGGCTGAGTCTGGAGGTTGTGCAAAGCTATGACACAACAGCTGGGTGATTTTTGAGATGGTAAAAAAAAAAAAAAAAAATCAACAGGAAATCTGAAACAAAAGAGAATTTCAAAGAAATGGTTACCCTGGGTGACCTACCCACCCCCCCAATCAGGCCTTAACAATGGGGATGAACAGCATCCCTAGGAAGCTGCCAGGACAGCCAAGTTCAGTAATGGTTTGAAATACTATTCTTCACAGAAACATCTGATCAGGATTAGCTATCCATTCATTTAAATCAAGCAAGGTTTAAAGATATTCCCTCTATAGAAAGACTTTTTTTTTTTTAAGCCAGAGAGGAAATACAAGTTCAAGTGTTAAAACATGAGAAAAATAATTATTTTGTACACAAATAAAATTTTAGATTTGTTTAGATAACAAGAGTTTTTTTTGTGTTGGCTGATTTTTCTGAGAAAATAAATGTTTAAAAATTGCTTCATGTTAAATTTTGTGTTTGCTTCACTTTTATTGAATATAATTAATTGCCCTCTAGATACATAATTTTACAACTATCTGCAATCACTACATAACTTGATGGTATATTCAGAAACATAAAGCTTACAAATAGTAATGGATACACAGTCTACAACAGGTGGTTCCCATTCCTGCCTCTGTAATTTTGATTCTATGAGTCCTCCACAGGTAGCTTCTACTTGCGAAATCTGCCTGTGGTGTCATCTTAATCTTTACCTGCTTTAAAATTTGACTCTCAGAAAGAGTTTTTAGCAGGAGAGATTTTTAAAAAGCAACTATTCTTTGCAATAAGACATGTACTTTTAAGAAATTTGGCATAAGAAAATGGACCATCTGAATATATAGCAAATTCATACGCAATGTGATAGTTTGATAAAAGCTTGGTTTTATGCATTACTAAGGGGAAGTAAATTTACTTGTATCAGAACATATGAATCAAAAAGCTTGCAAAAAATAATGTTTTAGAGATCATAAATAGACCTATGAATTCTTCTTTACAATAGATTTTTGAATAAGTAAGATTTTTACTGAGACTTAAAATTTTCAGTTAACTTTTATATAACATACATAATCTATGATACTTAAAATAATTCTACATTTTAGGATATATAGCAGCCATAATCTGCTTTTTAAAACTAAATGGCAAAAGTTCACTTTTAAAAGTGCTTGGGACTTTCATCTGTCTAAGCAGCCCACAGTCAGGTATGTCTACGGGATTCTTATTTGCTAAATGCTGGAGTGCTGTCTCTTGGGATTAGGAGAACTGAGAAGCAAAAAAGAAACAAAACAACAACAACAAAAAAATGAAAACAAATAAATAGTCTCTTAAAGAAGTCTTGTCAAAACAAATCATAACATTTCTTTTTACTGGGACACAGTTAAGATGACGCTTATCCCATAGATCACAACAAAGGAAATCCAGCTACAATGTATACTAAGGCAGACACAACACACAAAGGAACATGAGGAAGCTCACAGCAGAAGGGGAAAGTTCACTTTGGTCTGCAGCTCTCCATCAACTCTTTTTGCGTCATGAATTACAGGCTGGTATCTGTTTCACTACCAAACTCTGAAAGCAACTGATATAACTTGAAAACCGAAGTTGAGCTTTACGCAAGGACTTGGGGGAGGATGTCCTCTGAATTCATCCAGTGAACAAACTGATACCCTCTCCTGGTTGTCTATGCCCACTTACCTCCTAAATGCTACTGTTCTCTAAAGTGTTCTCTCTCTCTCTCTCTCTCTCTCTCTCTCTCTCTCTCTCTCTCTCTCTCTCTCTCTCTCTCTCTCTCTCTCTCTCTCTCTCTCTCTCTCTCTCTCTCTCTCTCTCTCTCTCTCTCTCTCCTCCCCCAACTCCACCTTCTTCCCTATTAGTGTATGTGTAATTTCTAAATTATTTTATCTTGTTTCATGACGTCAGCAATCAGTTTAGACTATGATAATTGTGAAAATTAGATTGATGTTTGATTTGTTCATCACTGGAAACTTAATGCCTGAAAGTAGAGACTATTTGTGAATGAAGAGATGAGTGGATCTTTTGGCCAATGGTGCTCAAACCTACTTGCTAAGATCACTTCTGGATTCCAAACCTGTACTTTAAATGTCTGTTGGATACTCTATTCCGATAGCCCACAGGTAGCCTGGGACCCAACATGTCCAAAGTGGAACTCATTTCCTTCATGCTTTTTTGAATCCTCTTTTTAAATGCATCATCCATTGTTTATTTAGCTTTCTGTTTTCATGTTAGCCTGACTCTGGCATCTTACAATTAAGCAATCCAATGAATCCTCACTAACTCTTCTTCCTGTCTGTGTCACTCTACTATGCATGTTCTCACCTCCCCATGACTGAGGCTTTGGGTCTCCCCGCTTCTCAATAGCATGATGGGGAGCCTCCAAACCATCTTCTGTCTACTGTCAGTCTTGGCTTCCTCACCAATACACTCTCCACTCTGCAGCCAGAGCTGTCACATTGACAGGTAGATCTTGACCATTCACTCAATTGACAAATATTTACTGAGTACCTATCATGTACCAGGCACTGTGCTAGATATATAGTTGCTATACAGTTTCAGAGATTTTGTAGTTCCTCAACAGATACAGACAAAAACATTTAAAATAGGTTATTTGAAAAAGTATAACTGGTATAAATTCTATGAACGAAACAAGTAGGAAGAGTATTAGAAAAGATGTTAGACCTCTTTTTCTTTTTTTCAGCTCTGACCAAATGTCCCATGCATAGTTTTAACATAGCACCTGGTACATGCAATGGCGATTTTTCTTTTCTTTCATATCAAGTGTGAACCCTTTGAGCTATAAGAGTCTCTTCTGTGTAAGTGTTGCTTCAGCACCCAGGCAGGTAGCTGGCAAGTGGTAAATACTCCAGAGATGTCTCTGACTGAATAAAACTAACTGGTCTCACTTTTGAATAAAAACATAGAACTTCTTTCTGTCTCATTTTCTTATTTCTTATAATAGGATCAAACTAAAACTGAGCAAATCTGCACTGGAAAACTAAACTATCCAAATAAAAGTGAGCTTTCCATATGCTCCTTCCAAACTGAACAGGACCAGGACAGGAAAGACCATCCACTTAGATGCTCAGATGGGGCTCCTGGTGGAGAAGGAACCATTGGTTCTGGGAAGAAAGGCCTGAATGTATGCTGTGGTTGTTATTGCAGCTCATGTTTTGGGAGATACAGGAAAAATGAAGTCAAAGTACAGCATTATTTAATGGACATTTGTGCCCCTCCCCCAAATCTAGTCCCATTTAAACTAGGATCTTGTGTGATCTTGAGAAAGTCACTGCAAAAATCATTTCATTCTTCTCTCAGCAACCTGCCCTCCAGGCTGGTGCATAGGGTCAGGCACGTGTGCAGCCTGCCCTCGAGGTTGGTGCATAAGGTCAGGTACGTATGAACGTATGCAAGCCAGAAAAATGAAAAAGGGCCTAAGTATGTCACAAGTTCTGATGGTAGCATCTCTTCACACTATAGCCAAATTATCAGATAAATTATAATTTGTCCCTGACAGACAAAAGTTTTGTGTAAACAGTTCATTTAACTTCAAGTGGCTGGTTTTGTTTCTTCACCAGTTACTTGGAAACCTGCTGATGAACTCTGTTAGAAGACAGCAACGAGACATGAAACCTAAGAAATGGCGGAAAAAGTGATGTGGCTAACATAATTACTAAGCAACCGGAGCAGATTAATACTTTGTTCTCACACACACAGAATCATAAAAATGACTTGCAGGGAAATTACGCTCATTTGGTTGTTCTACTTTATTGAAAAATGAGAGAAAAGTGGAAATGAGAATAAAAAGGTAAATTTAATCAGTTTGGAATTCAGATGTTATTAGCATTAAAAGATCTCAGTCAGAAAGCTGATTAAACACTCCTGAAAGGTCTCAAGATTGATGTTCTGAATAGGGCCTCTCAGAACAGACTGCTGTTAGCATGCCGTTGATGCACTGCAACATTGCTCAATGATCTATCTCTAAATTCTGAACTACTGTTCAGAAGCAACTGCATAGGAGATTGAAATAGGAACAGATCTCTTTTCATTTTATATAAAATGGCTACAAAGTTCATTCACTGAAGTCCTGTTCAATGAATTCCCAATTAGAGTTGAGGTTTCAATACCTGGGAGTTAGTGAGACGTGGTGAGGAGAGATGAGCCTTTCTCATGAGGAGGCAGAAATATAAAGAACGAGATTCTTTCATGGGTGCTCAGGGGCAGCTCTCTTTGCCTCGATGATATCAGCAGTTATTATGGAAAATGCCTTTTTCTGGGAACCAAATCTCATTTCATGAGAGGACTGAACATCTATCTACCTTTTAACATTAAGGCAGGAAAGAAAAAAAGCTAGATTTGCAGAGAAACAGTGACCCTGCAGAGCTGCTCAGAGGTTGGGGGAAAGACAGCCAGGAACAAGCCATTCAGAGGGCTGGCCATTAAAGAAAGTTGAAGTTTCCTTGACACAGTTTGTATATGAAGTTTGTATATGAAGAGGCCACAAACAAGACTTTACATTCAACACTGGCTGTTTTTCTTGTTCCAATATCAAGGGCCTCTCGGCCCTGAAGGATCAAATCTTATCTGGTTTTGGATGTAGGCAAACTGCAGTGCACAGATAATTTTGTTGAACAATGATGATCTCTAGTCTCTTCCCACTGGCAACTGGGTCTCTATCACAACTAAACAACAAGCCAAGAACTGGGCCTTTCCATGCTGTGCTCCTCAGCCACTGAGAGTGAACAGACTCCCTCATTCTCACCCTCTCCCTATTGCAGCAGGAGTCTGGGTGGCCTGAGAT